CAAAGACTTGCAAACTAGAATTTGAAAGAATGAGCAACATGGAACTGAACTCACGTATTCACAAGGAACAAAACTTAAACTAAAATGCAGGAAACGGGACCTTAATTTAATAAATATGCAAATACATGTCTTGAATGATAATCTGGATCCTTCATATGACCGCCAGTGAACAAACAAACATAAATGAAAAAGTGTGGGGCTTGTACTGGACAAAGAAATTCAAATGCAACCTGTGTATATGAGTCGCAAAGCAGAAATTATTAATCAATAATATGGCTTATTCATTATAATTAGAATGTAAATACTAACTAGCAATGATGCTAGTGTTATCATTCACATTACAAATCAACTGGCGGTATGATGAAAAGTTGTAATGCGCGCAGCGATTCATCTAGAGAGGGAAATAAAAGACGTACAATGAATATGGAGATCTATCAATAATCACGTGCCACGAATGTAGTATATCTACAATCCCCCTTCCTAACGACGCCAGTTAACTTGCTAGCAAACACATTAAGCCACTTATACATATACAATGATTACAAAGACACCGTTGCAGTCAATGCTATTCAAGCGTCCAACAGATACACAAGTGTATTGTACACATAGGGCATGCAAACATCAAAAAAATGGCAATGACAACAAAGGAGTTGTAGATGTAGTAGTCTTACTACGCATAGCGTCAGACAACTTACAAACAAACATATTAGTTCACTCATGGGTGACGACGAATAACACGCAGCAGATGCTAGGGTACCCCTATAGTTAACAATAGTTTAGTGCCAAGCATATGCATTAATATCCCTACAACAATGTCAGCTGGATCACAAACACACAATAATTCCTTCACAAGCAACTGCAGGAAACTTGTGAACTTACAAACAAACTCAAGAGTGAACACAATAGCCTATAAAAGTGAGTGTAGTAACTTGCGAACCTACAAACAAACTCAAAAGACATGTAGAAAATGCAACGACATCCCTCCGGTTAGTATCGGCTAACTTGCAATCGATAACAGTTAGCTGATTGGGTAAATGTATGGATTCATTAATGAGCAATGATAGCATACAAATTATGAATGCAATAGTCTACCTACACTCAACGACTACCAACTAACGAATGAACACAATAGCCTACTTGCAAGCAGTGAAGGTCATGAATACACCTATATTCTATGACATAAGACCAACGTGCAGTGAATATAACAACACTCTGTGCAGTCGGGAAAGAAGACAGTAGCATTTGCAATCATCAACACCAAACATGTCGCAGAAGTAACGAATCATCTGCAAACATAAATACACCCACAAAAGGTTATTTACGAGTAAATGCATTAGCTCATTATAGGTGAAGGGAATCAACATGCAGCAAGTGCAACTATCTACAGGCGATGAACAAAAGAATTATTACACACACAGTAATCCACCTACGGGCAACGATGAATAACGTGCATTGGATGCTAAATCATCTCACAGTCAACAACTATTCAATATCAGACAAATACATCGGCCCCCCTACAAACAGGAGTAGTGAAGCGCAAATACCTATGGGGTTGTAGGAGGCCCTTCATACACACTACATGCCATATGCAAGCAAACACCAAATTGTATGCAGCAAACGCAAGTGTCTATAGACCTGCCATACACACAAAATGTTATATGTGAACAAAATACTAAATGACTACAGCGAATGTAAATGCCTACAAGCCGCTGAAGGGGGCTCGTTATAAATTCAACATGCTGTCTGTGGGCAAATGTGAAATAACTGTAATAGATGCAAGCATCTACGAGCAATAGCAGGAGGTTCGTTAGTGCATGACAGCCTACCTGTCTAATGTAACAAATGAAACTCAACCTTTGACGCAACGCCATCGGGTCCACAACATGCATATAAGTGGACAGAAGACATCTACGAGTTCCCAAACAGAGCGCCGCGCATGTTCAAATGATAGTTGCCTGCACAACTGACCGGCATCCAAACATTCCAAAAATGCCCCCACACATATATTACGTGTATACACGCAAACAAAAAAGTGCACATGCAAGCACATTAACCTATATACACACAATAATATACACCCACATGGGCCCCGACGAGCATGTTATGGGTACATACATGACGTCTGAGGATGCTGCGCGATCAAGAAATGAACTTAAGTTTGAGCATCATCCTTCTATACGGGTCAATAAGAATCAACATAGCTCAAACTATTAAACAAATATACGATCACAACATCGACTGAGATATTTGTTTTAATACGTTCATATTTGAGCTTCAAGGCCAATAATCATGTAAATTCATTAATAAAATAATGCAGCTGGCTACGAACCTGATCCTCTATTAGCAATTAGATAGAGTCGACAAGGTTCAACGGATAATTACAAAAATATCGCTTAAATACCTGCATAGGCCCCAACGAACGTGTCATATTACACGTGATGTCTGAGGATACTACGTGGGTCAAAAATAAACTTAAGCTTAATTCCAATCCTTCTCCTTGATAGGATGGGAGACGACATGACTTGAATCAATGAACAAGTGTATGATCACAACGACGATCGAGATATTTGTCTTACTACATCCATATTAGGCCTTCAATGCCTATAAATAATAAAAATTCATTAACAAGGGCATAAAACATATGAATAACCCGATCCTCAGTCAACAAGTAGACACAGTCGACAAGGTTCAACCCATAAAATGAAATTACCCGTAAGAATTTCGATGATGGCGATGTTGAGCATAGATCTCAACCGGAGGGGTTAATTCCAAATATTCAAAATGCCACACAAATACCCATAAAAGCTCAAAATTTCAAAAACTATCAAAATTCAGCCATCAAACATTTAAAGCAAAATCCATCTACTCCCCCGCAACAATTTGTCGAGGTGAATAAATTTAAATATCACTTCAGCTCACAAAGAACTAATGTCTGATCGAAAATATCATAAGGATTCATTCACAAATAATCTCTTGCCAATAAGAACGTGGCATGTGTTCTCTAACTGGTGGTTTTACCTCCAAATGGCCTCGCAGGTAAACGGTTATGACCCAGACCCTCTGAACCAGGTGGTTTGCCCCTAAATGACACCACTAAATTACAGTCATGACCAAAGCATGTATGCTCCCCAAGGGCACTAAATCCTTGGGATATGAATCAATATGATATGCTCGATAGGGCGCGAAGCCCTATGTTAGCTAAGATTGATTCAAATTTGTCCCCTTCGACAAACATCCACCCTAAGTCTACAAGGTACCCTTGGACGACGTAACCCATGGCTACTAACAAGGATCCTTCTGTTAGGTTGGGTCGACTACCACCTCTGATTAAGTAGAACAGGGAGTACGATGACCCAGAATGACGAAACTATGAGATCTTAATCGGGCTCATCATCATTCCCCCAACCATCCGCATTAAGTGCAAGATGGTAACATTTCTAATTTTAAATATCAAACTTCCAAACACCTAAACTCATGCTGCTACTCCATGCTATATAACAAGTCTCTCTATAAATCTAATTAATGACTAGCCTTAATAAAAAATTCTCTCTCGTTATCGGAAGGGGTAATAAACTATAGGGGCTTACGCTTATAGAAAACCAGAACTCAAATAAAAAAGTCCTCGCAAAATGAGGGAGAAATCTCTGGGTTATCTTATTTTAAACCCAATTTGCCTTCTAAAAATTTACCCCATAACTTAAACATTAAAACTCCCCCGAAAAAAAAGAAGGGAGGCCGGAGTGCGAATTTTCTGAGCCCACAGTATCTCATCCCTAGGATGAAGTGCTCCCCAACTCCAATGGGAGAAAATCCTCTCTCACATGAATCCCCTGTATCGTCAGGACCACTCCCCTACATATCCCTCTACCAGTATCCATCTTTTCAATCCCCATCATTACTCCATGCACCTTGTATCCACTAGTTTTATCCCCAATTGGTATGCGATCTAGTTGGAGATAAAATTATAGATAGCCCCATTATTTATCAACATCACTACCTCCTTGTATGTTATTTCTTCTCTCACCTTCATAGTGTGATTTAGAGTGAATCCCACCACTGGGAGGGTTCAAGGAGACCTCAGCCATGTCTAAATGCAATTTTCCCTCCTTCGTCGATACCTCACTCCCATCTCGCTCCTCAGCTTCCTCGTCATCACAGTTGGTGAGAACCTGAAGAGTTCGATCCTTACACTCATGCCCCGACATGTACTTCTCATCACATCTGAAACATAAACCCTTTGTTAGTTTCTCCGACACCTCCGCTTTGGTGAGTCGCTTAAAGTTGTCCCTTGGGCGAACTCCACTCTTCTCACTAGGTGCTTCTCTCTGAAAGGATATTGTCTAGGTTCTAGGTGCTAGAGTTATAAAGGTATTCCTGTAGGCCCCTAACATGATGTTGCTTCTACTAGCCTTCTCCCTCCTATATTTTCCCTCCACCCTCTGAGCAAGCTCCATCATCTGCCCCAGCCCCTTAGGCCTCAGTGCCCTGAGCTCTGCCCGTATATCCTCCCTAAGCCCCTTTATGAAATTCCCCTCCAATCCTTCCTCCGAGATTCCCCTCAATCTCCCTTACACTAGCTCAAACTTCTCTTGGTACTCCATAACTGTCCCTTCCTGAATTAGGGCATGTAAACTGCTTGTGGAGGTCTCCTTCTCAAATGGCTAAAAAACTTTCCAACAAGCACTCCTTAAATTCTCCCCATAAGTAGATCGGATACCTAGCCTCCCTCCATTGGAACCAGACTAGGGCTTTCCCTTCCAAATATAGACACGCCGCCATGAGTTTTTACCCTTATGTCAGCCCATTGATAGCAAAATAACATTTCATCTGGTACATCCAATCCTGAGCATCCTCCCCTCCAAAGATAGGCATCTTTAGCTTCCTTGATTTCTCATCCATACCTCAATGGTTTCTTCCTCCATTGATTCCTCCCATGTAGTGGTGGTGTGATTCCATTCTTTCCTCCCTTGGTTGACTTTGACCCCATGGATGCCCCCCCCCCGGGTTCAGCCTCCCTCCTTGCTATCCTCCCTTTGGAATACCCCGATCCACCCAACAACAAAGCCCCTTGTGGCGGTCCTAGATAGAAAACACTCCAATTCATCACCATCCTCCTGAATCTCCTTTTATCTTGGTTCCACCCTAGGAATTGTTGGTGATGCTTTTGATTGCATCTCAAGCATGATTTTCAACATGTCTTCAAAGTTTCCAAAACGGTTGGCTGAGAGTCTTCCCTCCACACCGAAATATTTTTTCTCAACTCCTGCCTTGAGTTTTTCCATCTCTCCTTCCAACACCTCCATCTTATTTGTTGCCATTAATTGGATCTAGGATCCAATTGCAAAAATTATAAAGACAACTTATTTTTCTACCCAAGAAAGATCTCTAATACTAATTTGATAGGTAACAAGTGCAAAAATCGAAGAGATAGTGGCTGAAATTTTGAATTTAAGCAAATAACACAACAAAAATTGAATAAATCCCGTGGCAAAACATTAGGGAAATATGCTGCCCAAGAAAGTGCTCTAATACTAATTTGATAGGTAACAAGCGCAGAAATCAAAGAGATAGTGGCTGAAAATTTGAATTTCAACAAATAACACAACAAAATTGATTAAATCCCGTGACAAAATGCTAGGGAAACATGATAATTAATGAAAAGTAAAAGAAAACAAACAAGATACAATGGATCTTCAGTTCAAGAGGAAGATCCGGCTCTTCCAATCCCTAGCCGATGGCTAGAGCCCAAGCAATTCTAGAGAACTCACAAATTCAGCAAAACAAAACATACCCCTAACCCTAACCCTTCCTCCTTTATTTAGAGAATAAAAATATAATGATAATTACTAAACAACCCTCGCAAAATTAATGCCCTCCTAAACTGCCCCCTCCTTTGTAATTTTCCATTCAAATCAAGGGCCCCACAAGGGAGCCGACGGCTTGCTTGGTCCGCGTGGAATACACCAGGGATCAGACCTGGTGCTGGGCCGACTGGACCAGTCCATCTTGGACTCGTCTAACATGTGCCAAAACCTTACATCAGGTTTTGATGAAGCTTGTAACCATGTTGGAGTCTTGAAAGATATCTCCGTCAGTAGCTCAAGCACATGCAAATTCTTAAGGGACAAAGGATGTCAAATGGCAAAACAATTGTTAACAAAACCTAACCTGAAGTGTATCAAACTTTGGTGACTGCTAATGGGTATGTTATTAAGCAAATAGTTAAGAGTGATAATAATGTGGAACATAAATATTTAATTGAAAGAAATACAAAATGTGTGGACTTCAATATATGGAAACTATTTGATAAGAAAAACCTCGTAGTTTTTGCAATTAAAACATAAATAAAGAATCCTCACGAGGTTGTGGAAAATTGCAAAATGATGCAGCATTTACAAGAAAAATAATCTTCTACCACCTAAATCTTAATCCACCAGTTATCAAAATGTTTGTAAAACAAATTGTTCGAACATTGAAACCAAAGAAGCAGCAAAGAACGGCAGTTAAAGTAATGGCGAACCTGCAATACCATAGATCGATCGTATTCCAAGTAGAGACCCTTTTCCTTATTGCTGTAAAAAGGATGACAATCAAAATTTGGATGCGACACAGATCATGCATAACCTAGCAGGCTAATGCAAGATAAGCATACAAATATTGAGTTGATTTAATCACAACTGTGTGCGCTGGTAAGTTAACTCCATGTGCAAGAGTATTTGTGGTGCAAAGAACTTGAAGATCCCCCTTCAGAAAAAGACCCTCAACTAAATTACGATCCTTCAGACAAAGCCCACCATTGTGATAGCCGACTAGGAAATAAAGGGAAAAGGCAAATTAGTAAGCACAATACCTATGGACAAATAATCATGCAATGATCCATTACACCACGCTAGCCAAAACAGAGCAAATGCAAACATAAAATATTTTAATTTATTATCAAATGTAATAAGAGTACACAACAACAACAAAATCAAGCCTTTGTCTCACTACGTGGGGTCGGCTAAATGAATCATTTTTCGCCATTGTGCCCTGTTAAAAGTCAAATTCTCATTAAATCTAATAAAGAAAGATCATTTCTAATATTTTCTAACCAAGTCCTGGATGAGAAAAGTGGAGGGTTGCGTTAGGTAGTCTACAGTTAGCATAAAATTTGTCGAATAATCATGACATGAATTCTTTAAAAAATTGTAATAAGAATACAAAAAGCATATAAAATCCTCACCACCATAGAGAATGCATGATTGCATTTGTTTGTCACCACAAGATACAGAAGCTTCCTTTAGTTTTTCCTGTTGCTCTTTTGATCTTATGAATGGATTTGAATGTCCAAGGCTTGATGCAATCTGAGAGAGGTGTTGTGCCGCTTCTTGTGCTCCTTTTCGTGTTGAACAGAATATAAGTGCAGATTTTCCTCTTGAATATTGCATGAGGATATCTGTAATTCATCTTTTTACAAACAAGATCTAATAATAACCATCAATTGAGAACAAAACAAACATAATTCTTCAATATGTGCTTACCAAAAACAAAGTTTTGAAGACGCTGCATTATAAAGACAGAAGAAATCAGTTAGAATAGCACAAGAATTAACTGCCTCCGTAATTTGTTTACAAGAGAATAGAAGATTTTTCTTAATCACATGACTAAATTTTCCCGATGCTAACCTCCTAACCTGAGTAGCAGGCATTATCATTATAACAGAAATACCTTTTCAAATAAGAAATCATTCTTAGCCGGAGCATAGCCTGCAACAAAGAAGGGATAAATGCTCAAATAATCAGTCAAATGCATGGCCTTAATTTCTTGCCTCACTCAGAAAAGCTGAAGCATAACATCCTTTGATATAAGAATGCCCATTTCAGACTTAAGGTAAGAAGAATATCATATGAATTAAAAGAAAGTAAAGAAAAAAGAAATAGAAAAGGTCCTAATAAGTGAACCTTAGTTTACAATATCCACTATAGACACCTATTCTATCTCCATGACCATATTACGTTGGTAAAACTTGTAGTTTCAATAAAGAACATCAAAATGGACTATGGCGATGCATATCTAACAAGAACATGCTCCACAATACCAGGCTGTTCTTATTAGTAAAAATGTATATCAAGTTATTAATTCATTCATACAGATTATTCAAAATAGAATAACTAAAGAAGATTTGAATAAACAATTCAAGTTTGCAAAAGTTTAGAATGATATAATTGAGCTCATTTCATTCTAAAAAAAAAAAAAAAACTAAGGATTAAAGTTAGATATCTCTTCATTATTATTGTACAACAGTTTATAGATCTAAAAGAAGACCCTTTATTAAATCATTTTCTTATACATATATATATATATATACACACACACACAAACAGGCATATTTCTATGATTGAAAAGCATATTGAAAAATAAAATAAACATTTCTCTAAACTATAGAGAAAATGACCGAATTGATACCCTAACCTTTTTTAAAGGACCAAAATAATACCCACCTATATAAAAATAATTTTGCCGCTTGACTCATTAAATAAAAACCAAACTAGTCCTTTCGTGAGATCATTTTGATCACTACTTAAAAAGTCAAGGAACTAAAATGAAACTTTTAATAATCGGAGACTATTTTTTCCTTCATAAAGAGTGTGATCATTTTGGTACCCCTGAAGTACATTCAACTGACTTTCTCGTGTGAAGGTCATTCATAAGAACAACATAACTTTGGGTGTAATTGGGCAAGATTTTAGATAATTGTAACTTTTAACAGCATATAAATTATTAATTATGAACATTTGGTCATTTCTATTAATATATTCATTTTTAAATAAATTTCTGTACTCATAACACTAATACTCATGAATAATCTGCCAATATATTTTAAACTATAACAAACACCCCTAATTGCTTTTTATCTCTTCAATCAAGGCATCTCACTAACCAAAGCCTTACAGCAAAGTGCTTTCCTAGACAAGGTTTTAGCAATGACAATATTCTAGGACGTGCGCAAGGTTTTATATCATGCTTTGCCTTGAGTAGGGGCTTGGATGAGCACCCGCCTGCCTTAATAATTAGTAATTTCAATTAAGAAAAATTTACTTGATGAGCTTACTTATATATATTTTCATCGGCACACGCCCGCGTAGCTTATTTATAGGTTTCAAATTGCTAAAGCTAACTTTTGAATGACTAAACATCAATAATGCTATTATAGGTACATAACTTGAGCTTTGTCTCCACTGCTACAAAACATGGGTTGGAGCTATCGACTATATGTTTTTGGTCACACCTTATCCACTTTCTGTTATCTAACTCTTCAATCATTCTTCTATGTCCTTCATGTCCGCTAGTCCATTCACCCTCTACCATCTCTTAATTATGAGCACAAGCAAAGATGTTTGTAGTTAGTGACAAGGTATGTGTAAATTACACAATCAAGGTGGAGATCTGATTGAGAAATCCAACAAGAAGCAACAATTGTGACTCAAATTTCTTCAACTGCTATGCCAAGTCACTATAATTGACCATGGCTTCTTGATCAGTCATGAATTCATGTCCTACAATCCATGGCTTGAAATACTCTTGACTGTTTGAAACTTTTGTCCATAAATTTTTAAGATCTCTTTATTGCTCTGTGCATAAAAATTTTTTGAATAGCTACTAAAACTTGGGCTAAGTTAGTGTGGAAGATTGAAGGATTAGTTGACTATTTAAATGCCCAAAAATAAGGGTATACGTTTGATTTCAAGGGAGAATTAGGGTTTAATGAAAATTTTGGAACTTGAAAATGATTGAGGTCTATGGTTGGGAAGGTTTTTTTTTTAATTAATGGCAAAATCTGGATCTCCAACGAAGAAGAATTAAAAGAAGTAGGGTCCTTGTTTTATTAAGGAGAAATAACTTATGGTTTGACTTACCCAAGGGGTCTTCTTGACTAGTGCATAACAGAGATAACTTGGTTGGTTGAGATGAGGGAATTGATTAGAATTCTTTATACTCTCCTTTAAGGAATGAACTTTTTCCCTATTGCAAGGGTAAGTTACACAAGCTTTTCTGTAATTAATCTCTAACCAATTCATGATTTTTAAAATTGAAAATTGTGCGCACACAGACAGTTTTAATCTTTAGTTATTGTAATATTATTATAATTGAATGGTTTACACAGCCATTAATACTGGTTAATTAGTTGTCAAGTTAGATTCCTCATTAATCGCATGGTGTATTGTGCTATACAAATTTATAATGAAATTCTCATTTATCATAATCGAATGGTAGAAAAGAACTTTTTAGCTGGAGTTAATAAAAAATTTGGAACTAGTTCTAAAAAGCATGGGATGTACAGGAATATGATAGTGAAATTGCATTCATTTCTGTGAAATTAGATATCAAAATCGTTTTGAAATGAATTTGTGCCCTCTTACAACACTCGATTTTGCTTCTTATTAAGAATCACATGAGAATAACGCCCAAAGAAATGTGGGCTTCGAAAATTAAGCCCCAGCCTCTTCCTGCTTTGCTTTTCTTCAGGGGAGTTTTAACGGAATTAAGTTCCAAGGTAAGTTTTGAAAGGCAGATGGATTTGAAGATAAGACACTAACAAGAGATTTCGCCCTCATTTTACGAGGACTTTATAATCTGAGTTCTAGTTTCCTATAGGCGCAAGCCCCTATAGTTAATTACCCCTCCCGATAACGAGAGAGAACTTTCAATCAAGGCTAGTCGTCAATCAGATACATTGTATCCATAGACATGTAGTATTAGAAGTATAGTAGCAGCATGAGTTTGAGTATTGGAGAGTTTGAGAATTTGGAAATTTGATATTTAAAATTAGAAATTTCACCAACTTACACTCAAAGCGGATGGTGGGGGAATGGATGAGGACTCGTTCAAGATCGCATGGTTCCGTCGTCTCGGGCCATCGTAATCCCTGGTCTACTCAAGGTAGTTGACCCAACCTAACAGAAGGATCCTTGTCGACAGCCATGGGTTGCTTCGTCCAAGGGGACCTTATAAACCTGGGATGGATATTTGCCTAAGGAGACAAATTTGAATTCACCTTAGCTAACAAAGGGTTTTATGTCATATCGATCATATCCTATTGATTCAAATCTCAAGGATTTGATGTCACTAAGTATCGTATTGGCTCTGGCCATAACCGATATTTCGTGATGCCATTTGGCAGCAAAACCACTAGGTTCAGAGGGCCCCGGGTCATAATCGTTTATCCTGCGGTGCCATTTGACAGCAAAACTACCGGTCAGAGGACACGTACCATGTCTTATTGGCAAGAGATTATTTGATAATGAATCCTAGTGATATTTTCGACTAGGCATTAGTTCCATGTGAGCTGAAGTAAATTTAAATTTGTCCACCCCGACAAATTATTGCGGAGGGTTGATAAATTTTACTTTAAGTAGTTTGATGGATTATTTCAATTTTAAATATTTTGGATTTTTGTGGAATTTGGATTTTAGGTGGCATTTTGGATTATTTGAAATGAACCCCTCCGGTTGAAAGAAGCATTCAACACGGCCATCATCGGGGTGCTTGGGGTCATTTCCATTTATAGTTTGGATGATTTTTGGATTTTCATGGGTATTTGGGTGGATTTAAAATATTTAGAATTAACCCCTCCAGTTGATTTCTGCATTCAACATGGCCATCATCGGGTTGACTGGGGTTACTTCCAATTTATTGGTTGAACCCTGTCGACCTTATTCACTCTCCGACAGAGGATCAAATTCTGTAAACTTTGGACCTTTATTAGTGAACTTTCTTTATTGAAGGACTAATATGAATGTATAAAATAAATATCTCGGTCGACCTCGCGACTGCATATTTATTTAATGGTTCGAGCCGTGTCGACTTCTATCTACCCACATAGAAGGATCGGGCTCGATCTTGGGTTTATCATTGAACCCGCGCAGCATCCCTAGACGCCACATGTGTAATCTTAACACACTAGTCGGGGCCCATGCGGGTGAATGAATTCATCGATGAATCTTTCTTATAAAAAGGCCTTGAAGGTCTAGCATGAATGTACAAAATAAATATCACGGTTGACCTCGTGACCGCATATTTATTTAATGGTTTGAATCGTGTCGAGAAGGAACAAGTTCAAACTTAGATTCATTATTTAGCCCGCGCAGCATCCCTAGACGTTACGTGTGTATCGAAACCACGCTCGTCAGGGCCCATGCGGGTGAATGATTCTATTTGCCCCTTTTGTGTACCTATGTGTATACAAATTACGGTGCATGTGTGAGAGCATTATGAAATATTTGTAAACACCTTATGTCCGCTCGCATAAATGTTACGGATCCGATGGCATAGCGTAGCAGCTTCTAGATTGAGTTGTTTGATATTTTGTACAAGTAGACTGTCATGCACTACTTATTGCTTTCTACAAGTGGATCATAGTATACTAACGAATCTCATGCTTTTGTTTTTCATTAATTAGATATATTGGGGATCCTTTGCATTTGCTCATAGATGTCACTTGTCATATGTAAGGGAGCTTTCTATAATGATTCGTATGTATCTACATTTGTTGTATAGTCCTTTGGTATTTTACTCTTGATAATATTTAGCATACATGACGGATCTTCTACAGCGATCCGTATGAGCTTGCATTTTGTTATATGTCACATGTCTTCACTTGTAACCTCTTAGTCATATTCATGGGTGGGTTATACATTTTGTTGCAATTCTTTTATATGCCTCTGTAGGTGAACCGCTATATGCATGATTCTATATTCACTCGTGG